GCCTACTCGAAGTAATTGAAGTATTCTCATTTGGAGCTGTCCAACTATTAAACAAAAGTGACAACAAAATCTAAAGTGAAAAACAAAGGGCAACTCTTATGAACTGCCCTTGCACCACTGATTCAAAATATGAATGAAGAGATAAGGATTAAGTTAATGAACTTAAATAAGTATTATTTGGGAGGCAATCCGACTTTGCAAATAAAAAACAGAATCAAACAAAAGAATGAAAAGGAAGTATTTTTCATTTTCCTTGTTTCTTTTCTTCATAAGGGGCCCAGGGGCCCACTCTCGCTCGAAAAAAGAAATCTCAACATCATGAGAATAAATAATTTCAGACTCTGCCGCTCTTCGAGGAAGCTTCATTGTCACTCTCTTAATTACTTTTACATTGAGGATAGTGCAAATTTTAAGTGTGTGGGTGTGTGATTCAACCATTATTTCTTGTGTGTATATATTCTTCGTTCATGTTTGTGTGATTTTCTATTTATTTTTACTTTGTTTGTCATATATGTTTGTGATTAAAGACTAATCCTAGGCCAAAATGCAACAACACCAGACATACAAATCATTAGTCTACACTTTTTGTTGTTAATACCAACATAACTTCTTAAGTTATTCATTCATCTACCGATGAAATATAGTTTGGGTTTGAAAACTGTCATTATAATTTCTTGAGAGTAATTTAGTGTGAGCCTTGATTTAGTTTCTTTTTAATAATTTACCATTTGAATACCTTCGATTTTGTTTTTTCAATGTATTCATTTAACAGTTGAATTAGTGAACGTTTATGGAGATTAAGATGTTTAAGCATTTATTCTCGTTGAAATGATGTTCAAGTTTGACACATTGATAAATGATTTATGTGATCTTTTTTTATCGTGAAGCCAAATATATTTTATAGATCACCAGTAAACCGTTAGTGGTATAGTGGAGACATAAGAGTTAGGGAGACAAAAATATACGATATTAATGAATTCTAAACCATTTACATTTGCCCAAAGGGGTACCTAACTATACTAGTAATCAATGCAAAGTGCATTAAATGCACATACCTGTGAGAATTAATTTACGAGCAAAAGCCCTATTGTGCTTCAAAGACAATAGTTGCAATTGTTGAGTAGGTGTGTTCTGTAAGACAAGCAGGTGTCGTAGGACGAGGTGCGTATGAACCTCGTCCTCGTTGTTTCCTTGCCTTGAGCGAGATTCTATCCGGATTTTAGACCTCGTGTTGGACGAGGTGTCACAGGACAAGGGGACTTGTATGGACTAGGGGTGGACATATCAGTTATCGATTCAGTTTTTATCGATTTTGGTTCGGTTTGGAACAAATTGGAAGAATTACTACCAAACAAAAATCATTCTATTTTTCGCTTTGGTTCGATCTTGTTTAGTTCAGTTCAGTTTGATTTGTTATTTTTTAATAATATATGAAGATTTTATTGAATTTCTTTAGTTTGGTTCGGTTTTGTTCGGTTTTTCGCGATTTTATTCGATTTTTCTCGGTTATGGTTCAGTTTGGTTTAATACGATTTGGGAGAAATTCTACCAAACTCAAACCAAAATTGCATGTGGTCCGGTTTCAGTTGGATTTGGTACGATTTGATTAATTCAAACCGATATGCACACCCCTATTATGGACAATGGTGTTGCCTCAGTGTATTTTACGTAACCTTGCTAGATCTTGTTTGTTTTGTCCATGTGCGCCCTCATCTGGCCGAGGGGCCCAAGTGAGGGGTGTAGTTTGGATGGTTTTAAGCCGCTTGTGCATCCTAGAGTATGTGGGCCGTTGGCCAGAACCCATATAATGTGTCAATATTATTTTGGAAAAAATTTCCCCGGTAACCTCGTTTTGAAAAAATGATTTAGGCCATCTTTAGTCAATTTTATCTAGAAGTTTTATATCAATAATATTTTAAGAAAACCCATTTCAAAACCATCAAATTGTATGTGGACTTTCTAAACCTTTGAAAGCCGCTGCAATGCGATTCACTAATTTGTGTAAACATAGGGATTATTCGTGCACAGATAAGTAGAATTTCGTATTCTTAAATGAGTTTTTTATATAAATATTACTACTACTAATTGGGTTTACATAAATATGACTAAACATAATACACGCGTACGCTACTCTGTTAGTAAAGAAGGGAAATTACCTAGATGCCCTAAAACGATTATAGAAACTGCAAAATTTCAGGATTTCTCGTATAATGATCAGCGTAGAAACATGTAACGTAAGAAGGTGTAGTCATTACGTATGGAAGCGAGGGTCAATTCAATCGATGCCAGAGCGAGAAACCAAACTTTGAGGGGCGATGATTTCAGGTTCTGATCGTGAAGAATAGTCAGATTTTGCATGTTGGGTCCTCTGATTATCAATTACTTGAGCATGAATGTGATGTTATTTGGTTTACGGTTGATGTTATTCCAGTTATGCAGATTGAGAAATGAAATTGAAGCATTATTTGTTGTTTACGATATCATTTTTTAGAGCAAGATAGGGTATTCAGGACAGGCGGTATTGAAGGAATAGGATGTCGTCTGGTATAGATCTGTGAGTAGTGAATGTGTAGTATTGAGTTTTAGTAAGTCATATTACAATATTCAATTTGGATAATGAATCGAAAGGATAGATTTTGCTTGGTGCAGTGGTCGTGATTGTGTAGCAATGAATGGTTGTGTTGTTTTAGTAATTAAATTTAAGAAATGCAAGATGGTAAGGATTATTGGTTAACTACGATGACTAGTAGTGCATGAGTGGTTTATGACTTTACAATTGTGGTCTACATTGAGTACTTTAATTACGTCATATTACAGTATTGAACTGTGGTAGTGAATAAAAATTTGGATTTAGTTTGGTATAGTGGTCGTGATGGTGTAGCAGTGACTATTCTCTAAGTTTCAGTTACTAAATTTTTAAACATGCAACATCGTAATGTAGTGTGTGATTAACATTCATGAGTTTGTTGTTCATGAGTGGTTTATGAGTTTACGTTTGGTGTCTTCCATCACGACCGTAAGTAAGTGAGATTTATAGTAATGAAATTGGGTAATGAATAAAAAGTATCGGACGAGTACTTTTGAAGTGGTCGTGAGTGTGTAGCAATTACTAGTTGTTTACCCATACAGTAGTTGTAATATTTATATAAAAAATTGTACTAAGTTCCAGTAATTATATTTGAAAAAGGCAACTCAGTTACATATACTGATTAATATTCATGATGTGTATTACCTGAGAATTTAGTTTGTGTGTAGTTGTAACAATTTGAACAGGTTGTATTTTGTATGGTAGACAACATGAGATGTATTGGAATACTTTCTATTATTGGTAAATAGATGCCAATTGAATGTTGTTACTTGTTATTCAAAATACCATATTTCGTATTCATTATCGCTTCACAAAACTGTTAGTTGGTTTTTGCAGCGACATGGAATCATTGTTAGTGATAGTGTTGGTAAGAAATGGGTGGAATGAAAAGAAGGCATTTCAAACTAAATCCACACATAGAATGGTTGTTAATTGTGCGACAACGTATGAAGAACTTGTGGCTAAGATGCGGGAATTGTTTAGACTTTATAAAGACAACCACAATCTTCGAATTGCATACCTTATCAATGAGGCATATACACCTACTGTTGTTGATAGTGATATGAGCCTGCATTTTTATTTGTTAGTAAAGAACAGTGTTAGGGATAGAATAGGGGCATTTACGATGTGTGTAGAACTGGATCATAGCGAGATTGAAGTGCCGACTAGAGAGAATGAGGGGATGATTGTGGCTAGGAATGGTATTACCAGTGATGAGGTATTTCCTGGTACTGAGAGTAATGAAAGGAGTAGTATGGAGCTGCCACTATGTTCAGATAGCACTTTATATGGAAATGGAGAAGGTGATATATTAGGGTCAAGACTACAAATGAATGCAACATACCCATCAAAGGAAAACTTTAAAGAGACACTACAATTGTACGCGCTGAGGAATAAATTCAAGTACTCTACAAAAACATCTCACACGGGAGTTTTACACGTGGTGTGCGTCGGTCCTAAATGCAAGTGGGCAGCTAGAGGGGTTAGGATAAAAGACACAGAATGCTTCAAAGTCAGAAGGTATGATTAATCTTACCATGCAATCTGCATTTTAAATTCAATTACTGTAATGTGAAAAATTTTTGATAAGTTTGTATGATTTGTAGAAATTAGTTAAACTGTGATGTAATGAATTTTATTTATTATTTGTGAATTGAATGAACAGGTTTGATGACGTCCATACATGCTCAATTGATCATAGATTAAATGGGAGTCGTCAAGCAAGTGCAACCCTTATTGGTAAGTTGGTGAAACATCAGTATATGGATGTCTCAAGAAAGCCATATCAGCCCAAATGTATAATGGCAGACTTGCAACGAAGTTTAGGAGTGAAGATGAATTACCAAAAAGCATGGAGGGGTAAGGAGTGTGCGCTGCGAGCATTATCTGGATCTGATTTTGAGTCTTAGAGGAAGCTGTCGGGGTTGTGCTATATGCTACTAAAAAAATCAAGAATCACATAGCATTGGAGACAGACAATGAGCACAATTTCAAATATTTCTTCATGTCATTGGCAGCATGGCGGAATGGGTGGCACTAGTGTCGTCTGGTAATAAACGTTGATGGCTCCTTCATGAAAGCAACGTTTAGGGGAACACTGTTGACGGAAATAGACAAATATTTCCAATTGGTTTCGGAGTGTGCGATAGGGAAAACAACGATACGTGGAAGTGGTTCTTCACACAATTGAAACAAGCTATTGGAGACATGCAAGATTTGTGTGTTGTTTCAGATAAAAATGAGGGTATAATTAACGCTGTTAAGCAAGTGTTTCCATACGCAGACCATGGGTATTTTGTCCAGCATATTTTGGGAAATATAACCACAAAGTTTTGTGGCAAGAAAAGACGTGTAACTAACCTAGTTAATGCAGCGAAGAGGGCGTCAACGAGTAAATTGTGTGAATACTTGTTGGGATTCCTAGACGCTGAAGATCCTCGAATAAGAACCTATCTAGAAAAGATTGGTGAAAAAATGGGCTAGGTCTGCATTTAAGCGGCAAAAGTACTCAATCGTGACCTCAAATAATGCTGAATCAATGAATGCTATAGATCGATTAGCACGAGAGTATCCGATATCTACTCGTATAGAGTATTTGAGAGATAAAATGCAAGATTGGTTCTTTAAGAGGAGGAATTTGGCCAATGAAACAACCACAACATTAACATCGGCTGTCGAAACAATGCTAGTAGACCGTCTCTTAAGTAGTCGTGGAATGATAGTAAGTGAAACTTTATGAAATTTTGTTTTATTAGTAGAAGAATGGTAATGTCCAGATTATTTATTGTGATGTGTAATAATTTTAAATGTGGGTAAATGATAATGCAGGTAAAACCAAGTACGGGTCTCAGCGCAGAAGTAATTGACTTGTCATGTAAGGCATTTGTGGTGAATCTAGAGGAAAGGAGATGCACTTGTAGAGAATTTCAGTTGGAAGATTTTGTGTGTTCATGCGGTTGCTCTTATAGGACACCTAAATGGGCTATCATGTTATGACTATGTGTCAGTTTACTACAAGACAAGCTTATGGAACAGGGCATATTCTGGAATTGTTCATCCCATTGGTTCATATGAAGAAGATGAAATTCCATAGGAGTATAGGAGGTGGGAGGTTAAACCTCCTCTATGTAAAACAAGAACTGCCGGGAGGCCAAAGTCCAAGAGGATTCGTTCTGTTGGTGAATTTGGGTCAAGATAGAAGTGCACAAGATGCAAGCAACATGGACATAACCAAAAGACTTGTAATAACCCGATACCGCTATAAATGATGTGAGATTGTGTTGCTACATCTTTGAATATTTTTTTTGCCAGCAAACATACAGTCATGTTTTACTGGATTTCAGATTTTATTTATGCACTTGAACGCTCACTAAAAGTTATTGTTTCACACCATTCAAATAATTTTAGTAATATAATGTGATGAGAATATTATAAGGATTATGACATTGTTTCCATGACTGCTATAGGATGTTTATTTCTAAATTTTGGTGCATCTTTTCCCCATAGATGATAAAAGTCAAAAACTTATTGATGTTTTGGTGAAATGTGATATGTGTTTTTTAGTAACTGACTTATGAAAACGGGAAGCAGTGTGCATAGCTGATTGATTACCGCTTTCGCGGCGTTGTAGTAAAACGGAGTCTAACCTTTCGGTTTTTCCCCGAGTATCGTGTCTCTTGAGGAATGGCGGAGGAGTTTCTTGATTTTAAGCTCAGTCACAGGTTATCGCAAATTATTGGAAGCTTTCCAAATTAAAACTTTTGATTGATTTTCTAAACTAGTTTTTGAAAAAGAAAGTAAATTAAATTATGCAAATACTAATGATGGCTCAAAAATAAACTAAATGAAAAATATTAAACTCTAAATGGATTGATCAAAGAAGGGCAATGAATTGAATAATTAGAAATGGATATATTCTCGGACCTAGTAATTAGGGGAATTAAAACAACAATTGGACTAATAATTTCTTTTCTCATAGACAAGAATAGAAATTACTTTCAATAAATTATCCTATTTCTAGGTTTCATCAATGTATTCAAAAATAGTTGGCTTGAATTAAATTCTAATCTCATAGACAAGACAGAAATAATTCTCCAATATTTTGTTCAATAAAAATTGCCAAATTCATTAACTAATTAAACTCATTAATTAAGCAATTTGAATTTAATTCTCATAGACAAGATGTAAATCCATTTCATTAAAATTTCCTATTTCTAGGCCTTATTAACGTGCCTAAATATAATTTGCTCAAATTATTTTCTAATCTCATAGACAAGTTAGAAATAATTTTCCAAAAGTTAATTAATGAAAATGGCTAACAATTATTAATTACTAATTCATCAATTTGAATAACTAGCCCAATTGATTAATTTTAACCCCTAATTTTCGGCTAACAAGTCAATCCATAATCCTTTACTCAATTCATGCACAAGAGTAAATTAACTATAACAACTCATTACTAATTTTAACATTTTACACATAAAATAAGACATGATCATAAATAATAACAACAAAAGAAAATATTAAGGTGAATACTCCCAACATCTAAACTTTCTTTTCTTTCACAAATAAACATTATTTATACTAGGAATTGATGTTATCTAAGTACGAGATTAATATAACAACAAGAACTAATTTTCTTGAATTAAAATTGAAAACACGAAATTCTTAAAATTAATTCAGAGAATTTTCTACAAATATTTGGGAAACAGAAACAATATATTCAGAATCTATACGACGAGAGGATGAAAATACATATAAAGAACTTACAAATTGGAGCTGAAATGAGAAAGATATGAAAGATTGAAGTTGAAGGTACAACAATGGTGGAAATCCGAGCTTTGAGAAGGAAGAAGAAGGCCCTTTTGAACTGATTTCGGGCTAAGAATGGTGTATTTGAGTTCAGCAAAAATCGGGCTATTTATAGCAGGAAAAATCTCATAGGCGGCCAAACAGGCGGCCGCCTGCCGTTCCTGTCTGGCCGCCTGCCGTCAAATCCCACCGGCCGGTGGTTGGTTTGTCGCCTTGTGCCGCAGGCGGTCATCGAAGGCGGCCACCTTCCGTCCAGTGTCGGCCGCCTTCCGTTTTTCTCCGGTCCGGTCAAATTTCACAAAAAGTTGACTTTTTTTCAAACATCGGTAGGCGGCCAATCTGGGCGCCTATTTGGGCGCCTCTGAGGTTTTTTGTCCGTCTTGTTCTGTATTTTGTGCTCTTCAACTTTCCCTTCTGGACCACTTTGAAATTCTGCTTCCTTCTTTCGGTATGATATCATTTGTCACTCAAATTGACGCATTTTGTGCTAAATTGACCCGAAATTTCATCAAACATATCATGAATGTGATTTTTACCTGATTTCACGAAACTTGAACCAAAATATATAAAACATGCCTTGTTTTTCTGTTTTTCAATCCAAAATCACTTAAATTTGATAAGAAAATTAAGTACAAAAATGGACTTATCACTGATCGTTTTGGTATGACATGTCAAAGCTATACTTTAACAGGTCCTCCAACATGAAACTCAATGAACTAGTAATTGATTTTTTTTTATGTTTCACTTGATGCATTTGGGGCTAACAGTTGGAGTTTAGTGCAGAACGTAAAAGGTTGAACGACTGATGTACTATTGAATTGCAATGAGTATTCTCAAAAACAATTGACTTTGCAAAACATATAAAAGTTTGTAGTCGGTTACAATGAAATGATAGAGTATCCAAAAACATTTCAAAGCTGAATGGTGCATAGTAGTGCAAGAAAACTAACATCAAACAGTGCGGCATGATTAAAAAATAACTAATACTAGGCAGATGGACAAAAGTTAAACTGATTTGTATTGTGCATCTTCAGTAGCTACACTTCTTTTTCATTCCGGCGCCCGTATTTATAGAGATCGTAAGCCCACTTTGCCCGATACTCTGGAATCTTGGATGGACAAAGCTTCTTGATATCAATTCCCATCTGTTGAAGCACCGCAAATTTAAGCATAAACATAGCACAATCTACCCTGCAATAAATGTAGTAATTATAATCTTAATTTCAAAAGATTACTAAAATGGTAAATTGATTTAATTATTACCCATTATCTTGTTGCGGTACATCTTTAATGACTTCAAATTTGTATGATGGAGCATCATTGAATGATTCATTCTGGGTATGAGCCTTGAGTGCAGCTACAACTTTGGGAAGGTAATGAATCAGGCCACGCATGTGCTGAACTGTCTTGGGTTTCTTAGTAGCACGGAGAATGTTTGAGTCGTACATAAACAAACAGTGACTGTGAATATCCAACACCACCAAATACTAGTGCGTATCAAAGAGATTCAAAGGAATGTAGACACGATCACAATCCCAGAATGGTAGCATGTAGATTTCCTCTGCACCTGCTGTTTCTTCCACTAAATAACCATCAGAGGCAGAGTCTTCAGGATGAACAACGCCAACCTTGTATTTATCATACATCTTATTCAAATAATCAGGGATGTATGTGCAACAAGTGGAGAACTTTTCAGGGTATGGATATGTGGCTGCTTTCATACGGAGATAGAAGCATATTACTTGAACATGCTACAAGTAAATAAATTTAAAAATGTATGAGTTACTGACTGTGATAGGGTATTAAAAGTAGAGAATTGTGGAATGAAAGGGAATAGGTTTTGGTGAACGAATATAAATATAAATATATACTTAATACATATTTGTATAGTAGAAAGCATACCATGGCGTCTAACCACTGTGCGGGCTCATGTAAATGGTAGATCCATGACTTTCTATCTATGACCACGTCATAGAAAAAAATCAACTGAATTGATTTATATTCTTCTGATAAAAATTTCTTGGGTACAGAAGTAGATCTATGCCCTCTTACTACTCCTTGCATGATGAACTGTGTGAACCTGAGCCACTCAGATGGAGGTTTCAACTTAGCAAAAGGGTCTACCGCAAATGGGCAAAGTATATGCGACGGGCGTTGCTTCTTGCACTTTTGTAGTGCCTCTGAACCTGGGGTGTAACGGGATGGTGAACGAAGTTTCCTTTTGGGACGCTCTTCAGGAACTGAAATCAAAGCCTGAGATACATGAAATGTAGTCAGCTAGGTTGTCTGTTTTAAAAACAAAACAAATCTAAACAAAAAGACTGAAATGTAAAATTAATTTCAGAGTTATCTATTACAAATTTAACCTGTTTAAACACAACAGATTTGTGTGAGTGGAGTGCGTCACTGGGTAACTGGTTATTTTTTACATCATGTGTTTTATAACAAAATGTGAAGCAATCAGTTTAATGAATAGAAAAAAAAGAATGAATATTGAAGGTTAGATACATGATTGAGGATGGTGTTGGTGATTTGTACGTGGTTGGAGCACATCATTATTAGTTTCCTTAGAACCTGAGAGATTGATATCCTAGGAAGTGGGGTAACAAAATAAGATGTGAAGATGGGAAGGTGTTATAGAGTAATGAAAAAAGTATGTGTTGAGGTTACAAGAAGAAAAGTGGGTACCTTTGGATCACACATGTCAAATGCAACGTTAAGAATTTGAGTCATAGAAACATCTATTTCTTCCTCAGGAGCATTGTTTGGAACATTGGTAGCAAGAGAGACAATATCAACACCATGGTGGGTGGGATTGTCTTTTTCAGAGGCCAGATTGGCGTGATGGCCAGAAAACCCGTTATGTGCTTGATGTGGAACTGAAGCAGTACGCAATGGCGAACTAAACTGGCCAGAGGAGTTATCGTGAAGCTTCTGTTTAAGCACGAGGATGACCACCTTGATCCTTCACCTTGGCCTTTAAATTAGAAATTATAGCACGTAATGAATTCAGTTTGTCATTGAATAAAGCAATCTTGGCTACAAACTCGGAGCGTGGCAAAAGATCTGCCATATCAAAACATCCTTGTTCAGCCGTGGAGTTGTTTGTCCTTGTTGACTGTTTCTTAGCCCCAACAGATACCTTTGACTTCTTCTTGCTTTGGTTCTTCTCAGAAGCAGAGCATGGGGTAAGCTTTGATGTAGGTTTGGGAGTGACTGGAGGTTTTGTATCCATAAGAATTCCAGCTTGATGAACATTGTCGTGATTCAGTTCAATGGTGGAGGAGGTAATAGGCTGGAACACAAACTGAAATGCATGGTAAAAAAAATCAAAAAAAGTTAGTGAAGTAGAAGGTAGTTGTAATACCAAATGATACGGACCACTACATGTCTTGTTACATTATGTACAATTAATACATGCATTACGAAGGGGGAAATTAAGTTCGATATCACAATAGCGTTATTAAAGTTACAGGAAGTAATCAAACTTTTTTGAACTTGAAATGCAGTAATAAATAATATTAATAAATAACATTACATACATTTGGGTTGCTGAAAATGGAGTAGGTCAAGGCGTTTGGTTTTTTTTGCCGACGTCCATCTTAAAACCCTTGGAAAGGCATCTGGATCAACTAACAGAGCCAAGCCAACCTCTTTTAGGGCCGGAAAACTCTCAAAAGCCCATACTTGGAGAGCCACAACACAACCATACACATTATATGTGCTTCAACTTCAAACATTTGGCACCATTTTTAAAGCAAGAAACCATATCACTCCAAATGACCCTACCCCACGGATAACTAAAAAAGGCACCTATATCATCGATTAGGTTCAGATATGAACTGCTTAGTGCAATTTTTTGGTCAGCAGAAAGGAAGGAATGAGATAGGACATATATTAGTGAAAGTCTAATTATATCTTCATCAGTCTCCATACCCTTGACCAAAGATTGGTATAGTAACTTAATATCACTACGTGTGACCCTAGATTTGGTTGGGAAATATTTGATCCAGAACGCACCCCGATAGGAAGATTCTTGTTCGATAGTGGGGACAGTATCATGGTAATTCAACCTAAGAATAGTGGTGAAATCTAACACAGAGAAAGAAACAACCCTATCCTGAATCTCAAAGTACAATTGAAAGGGATTGGAAACACTCTCAACCTCTACCAAATTCCCTAATAGATAATGTATGAGTTGACCACTGCAACACATTTTCCTAGCATCTAGGAATGGACCGAAGGCAGTTTTCCTAAACAGTTCAACTTGATGAGGTTCTAACTTCTGGTTTACTAAAGAGACTGAGTCAAACGACCTAGAATATGTGTTTACTTTCATGTTCTTTACGTGCTTATAGACTATGGACTTTTTCACCAGCCTCTTGTACATCTATAGAGATCATAATATCAAAGTTAGTTACTAGTATTGTCATAGTTAGTGGTAGGGAGGGAAATAAGTGTACACTTACATGCTTAGGTTTATGAGTGGATGGGACTTTTACGGATGACCGCATGAATGGTGTTGAAGATGTTGGAGGTGTAGTGAAATCATCATTGTCTTCCATGCTCTGATTCATAAAAATATACAAGTAAGAGCTAAGAGCAACATAAAAGCATTTTACTTTATTATTCTTCTTGTATTATTTGTCATTACTGACTTTCCTTCTCATGCTGTATTGTAGTTACAAACTCTTTTGTCAAAGAAGAACATCAATTACAGGTCTTCTTATTCCTTTTTTCAAGTAAGTTGGCTATCTCTTAGTTAAACTTACCATGAGTTCCTTAGAGTTCGTGTTGAAGCAACAAGGATAGGTTTTAATTACCAAGGCTTTTCTGATAATGACATACAAGTTAACTCGAATGGTCCATTGGGAAAACATTAGGGGTGAGTGAATTGTTTTGCCATCATCAAAATAGTCCTATCATTTCACAGATACCAGAAACATTTCTAATGCACACCCAAAAATAAACACAAAAAATATGGTATTTGGCATAATAAGTAAGAATATCCATATTGGCAGCTCTTTAAAAATAAAATCCAGATTGGCATCTAAATTGTTAGATGTTATTATATAGTTAGACAAACTGGTGAATATGTGTGCGAGTAAATTTCACAATTCTACTTCTCAAACTAAAAACAGATTAAAGAGAATGTCATATAATAGCTATAGAGTTGTAAAAGTTATTTCCATACAAGGATTAAGTGCAGATTGAAAAACATTACTTGACCAATCAGGGAATCTACTATAACAACAAACAAATTTCTTCAAAATACCAAATCATACTGCACATTACATTTTTTGGATTCCGAAACCAATGCATTTCACAGATTTCCATTAATGAAGAGAAGAATGGAAGATTAGAGTTAGTATTCCCGCGTGGTTGTTACAGAATGAAGAAAAGAATGGGAGATTACGGTAACTTACAGTGATTGTTGCCGCCTCGCCTTCCATGCGGAGAAACACTTCCGGTTCCGGATTGAAGAATTAGGCCCCACCCGTCAACATGCAAGCAGATGAAGTTAGGGTTTATGGTTAAAACATGAAATTGCAGAATGAAGAGGGATGTAGAATATGGTAGGAGTGCAGCGCGGGCGAGATTTTCGTACAGATAAGCGCGAAAGACAGTTTGATGGGAGAAGGAAACTGCACAGCCGTTACTCTCAAAGATGTCGCAAGGTCAAATATGGAAGACTCTTAAAGCACTTAAACCCATTTTAACGGGTGGTAATATTTTTGTAAGTAAGGTTTAAAGGAGTAATATTTCTGTAATTTTTTCATTCTTAAATATGTTAACTGTTTCTCACTTTCCCTTTAAAGGAGCTTATACGCATCAATTGAAAACACAATTAACATGGCACATCCAAATATATAATCAACGAATTTACATTTTGAGGTTAGTTATCAAAACCAACTGTTTTCAATGCATTACTTACTGATAATTTGGGATGAGATAAGTTTTAACAAGTCAACTAATAATCCACACAGAGATCAAAATTGAAAGGAAAAAAAGGAGAGGAAGTTACAGTCTTAGTCCCAAAAGAGGGGTTACATGCATTCTTAAAATCATACTCCCTCCGGTCCTTAATGAAGTTTACACTTTGACTTCACACATATTAAGGAAATAAGTTAGACTTTACTGTAGAGTACACTGTTTGACACTGTTTGTTGTAGATTTGTTTGCCAAATAAGACAAATAAAGAAGTGTAAAGTTTAATATGGGACGAACCAAAAAGGAAAGTGTAAAATTAATTAAGGACCGGAGGGAGTATAATTTATATTAAATATTTGTTGAAACACAATTTATTTACTTAAGTCTATTATTAAATAATAAAGAAATCAATACATGTGTAGACAAAATAAAATAAATATTTCACTTCCATTTACATTTTCAAAACCAAACATGAGAAAATAAGTAACCAAAGTGACCTTTAACATAATATTCATCGGATTCAGCTACTTTAACCAATCGTTACAAACAGGCCCTAAAAATCTAAAGATGACAATTCCAAAAGAGTTTAATAAGCAATCTGCCTTCTACATCTGTACAACAAATATCTCACTTCCTGAAGTGCTTTCTTATTGCCTCCCCTGGAGAGTTTCTGGATTTTCCACATCAGGTTGTTGTGGCTGTTGTTCACGAGGAAGCACCGCTGGACGAATGTGTTGCTGTTGGTCCAACAAGTTGCGTCGTCCTCTTCTCCACCTACAAAACTCAACTATGATGGAGCTTCCGCTCATCGCAATGCCAACCCCAGCAAACGTTGCCAGAAGAACTGACATTATGGCTTGCAGATGAACCTGCAAAACATGCATGCCCATGCATTATAAATTTATATATGATGACTCCCCACTATCCACCTTGTCCCATATACCAGATTCAAAAAAAATGGTGTGGGAAAAGAAAAGAGGCCGAGTCATACCAATGAGTAGAAAATATGACCCAGGAATACCACAAGTCCGAACTGAACAGATGCATAAACCCAGATAAATCTTCTCTTAACTGCAAAAATAAAAAGCGATTAAAAAGTCAGATTGTACATCTCTTGAGTGGATGTTTTAGTGTGGTTGGGATATGGAGACTCGTCCCTGACAGAAACTGAAAATCGACTTCATTGAACTCTTATATAATGAGAGGTCTGGAATTGATGAAATAAAAAACCTGTCTTTTTGTCAAGTGCCCCTCATCAGATATTTATCAAATCCCTATAACAAGGTATATAAGTGCGGGTTCAACCTCTATTGATGATTCCTTTGGGTGAGATAAGCATAAATCTGATATGGGACTCCAGTTGTGTTTTGGCTGTTATTTGAAACCGTTGGGTAGTCCGCTTGATGTCAGTTTGGCTTATCTATCTACCTCAAACCCTCCTACCTGAGTAAGGCTTTAAACTAACTACTGCTAGTACTAATTGTAGAAAGAACTAATACTATTATTGTACTACTGTTACTATTATATAATATTATGAAGCTTCTTTTGTAGTAATGATTCGTTATCATAACTTATGTGTCAAATTGTGTGTGAAATTGAAGGCGGCGTAGTAATGATTTGTTTTGGTTTAAAAATTAACGAACTTCTAACATTGCTTTGTAACCTCAAAACCATACCCATGGTGGATGCAGTCATAGATGCAACAAGGCTGAGAACACAAGAGAAGGGCAATGAAATGGCAATGGCACCAGTACCCATTTTCCCAACCTGTAGAGAATGAACACTTCAGTTTATTACAGAGTATTCATTCTTTACTAAAAAACTACTGCTTTTTTTGTTTCCAGTCAATGAAGAGATGCCAATCTTACCAATAGCTGCTCAAGAAAACAAAAGTAGGCCAACATGCTAACAATGACCAGAATGGGCACTTCCTCCCAAACCCTGTTGTCAGATCACTAATACTGATCAGATGACAATGTGTTATAAATGCAATTATTTAACTATATCATATGCTTAGTTGCCTAGGAAGTTGAAAAAAGAAACTGAAGTCTTTTGGCGCTGCTAATAACAATAACAATCTTCACAATCGAAAGATTTATCAAAACAAATAACTCAGGGTCTTATATGTTGGTTTGTATTTTCAAATTTCATCGATATAGGATGACTTGATATGACTCACAAAGTGGCAGCTCATTAAAAGCATACCAATTTAAAAGTCCCTGTACTCATTTTTAAGCTTTACAAATTGCTTGATTTAACTTAATATGATAATACCATGATTTCCAACTTGTTGGAATAGCTTCATGTTTTATAAGTTATTTAGTGTAGGTTTGACTAACAATTCAGTGAAAACAATTTTAATGAGAGGCTAAACAGTAAAATGAGGACATAAGAAAAGGAAAGAACCATAACAATAGTTCGGGCCCACCTATGGCCATTTATTTCCATTTGACCAAACCTACTTGCGCCACTATTAGCATTCCGTACACTCTGAATCCGGAGCAGTGTAACAGGGAGATTAAGGACCTCTTGCTTGCACACATCACATGTCTTATTCCCTTTAATGCTAAACCATTTAACTGCACATTCTTGGTGGGCCAGAGCAAGTTCACCTTTACAGCTGCACTCCATCCTGAGTGTCTCTCCACCTTCACACAGTTCAACCAAACATATCCTACAAACAGCTTCTTCTTCAGGTATATCTTCACCATCTTCCTCATTTTCTTCTGAAAAAAACTAATGTTAGACTATGTGCACCCAAAACCATACACCTAATTTTTGTATAGGCAAAAGTTGAAACTTTGGTAGGGGTAGCTCAATTGGGTCAGAGTGTGCATTATCAATCCAGCTTACAAGATAGAAACTGAAACATTAGCTAGTCTAATCCAAGACATAATGATCCCATATGTCTTTCTCTAATATTTTTATGATAGACTTAACACAAAGGTCATTATCCAAGCAGGCATAATGTGAAATGAAACAAGAGACTACCAGAATCTCCAGTTGAAGTTGTAGGTGGAATACTGGAGTTCACATCTCTTACTTTAGGTGTCGAAGGTATAACACGAAAAAACCATTCCACTTTCCGAGTGCTTTGGTTCTTGCTGTTAGCTGGTAGAGAAAGTGACCGAGAAATGAACTTTAGTGCTCCTTTTGACTGCAATATGAAACTAAAGTTATAGTTGGCACACAAAATGTCTATTTATCAAAACTCAAATATGAGCACACAAAAAACTGAAGACGCTAACCACCTAAAGTCTTGAAGCTGTGTTTTAGCCTCAAGTCTTTTTCGTTTACAACCAATAGGTAGACTATTTCATACTTAGGGTCTGGTTGTTTCAAGAAAACATAAAACGTAGAACTGTTTCAGGAAAATGACTCTATTTCCATAACTGGAAGTCATTTTCCTTATAAGCTTTAGGGTATATTTGGACCTAAGACATGCCAGGGAAATGAAAAAGCTCCGAGGAAAGTTATTTTCTGGTGATTTATTAAGTTTGAACATTTTTCATGCATTTTCTTTCCTTCCAAATTTCCCTTTTATTTTGCTCCATTCTTTCTTGAATTCTTTCAAAAATTCGAGTTCCTAAGTCCAAACGGACCCTAGATATGTTTTCATGTGCCAAGACAGGAAAATCAGAAAACAGTTTCAAGGAACATATTTTCCTCTAAACCAATGAAGCCTTAATTGCTACATGGGTAGTAAATCTACAAAAATCATATTCTGAAGAACTTACAGATGGTGTTGGAGGGTTACTTATGCTTCCCACACGTGCAAGCTCTGGATTTGAATGCACAATAGGATCAAGTGGCAAGGAAGAGGTCCTCTTCATGCGGGGTGTGAAAATTTTAGAGAAAGACCAAGACCTTGATATGGGGAGCTTCTCTGAAGAACCAGAATCAATATCAGTAACCCCCTTATCTGAATCTGGATTACAGCTCCGGTGCTTAAAGCTTAATTTAGGCAATAGATTCTTGATTGATGATCGGTTTCTGGATGATAATGGGCCGGGTGATGATACATTTACACTTGGACCTGCATGACATGGTGTCAAATCAAAATTCACCTTCTTTGGTGTTGGGAATGGTTTTATGTGAACCAACTCTTGACTCGAATCCTCCATTGTTCTTGTGGGTATCTCTAGAAAAAGGTTAGGTTTCTTCCCACTTTTAGCATTCACGTTTTCTTCAATGATCCCAGAGGAACTCTCAGACTGCAAAATATAAGAGTTTCAGCCTCGTGAACTAATGAAGAGTAATAAACGTGCAATAAAACTTCTTAGGGTAAAATACTAAAATGCAGTACACATTATAATGACCCTTGCCCTGAACTGCTTGTTTGTCATTCACAAATGCCATCAGTCAAGAACGTCGAAAGAAACTAATCAAATGTTTAGAGTTGTTGAGGTACAAAATATCAAGGGTGTCTAATAGAGCTTCCAAGAAAGACTACAGCACTTTCCCTGCTAGACTTGAAATTTTGAATATATAGTCTGTATGGAAGTATATGAAAAGCTATTTTTATTTTTTATTAAAAATATTAGCATTTTTTATTTTATTTTAACTTTAAGTTACAATTATATATTTATTGTAACTACATAAAGGCTAAAATTTTTATACTAGAACATGGTCTTCTAATAAAGGCTTTTATATATCCTTGGTTGTTGTTTTACGCCCTTTGGTAACCAAACCAGTAAGATTTGAATCTATAGATGGTTGTACTACTACAGATACAAAGATTAAGTACAACTATGGTCTTGTCAACTGTCAAGATTCAGGGTTTATAATATATGGTCTGAATGAGCTTGACTACATATTCCCGCAAGATGTTGTCTCATTGACACACACAAGTCTTGAAGTCTTTGTCATGTTGGTAAGTCTAGAGTAGGGTTAGTCCTTAGAACCATTGCAAATGCAAATAATCAAGAGAAGAAAGCTGTAGCCTCAATGAAATCTCACCATTAATTTGACCAAGAGTTTCACTTAAATAGTACTACTACGTATCAAATTATTGCATGGAAATACTTTTAAACAATTTAGCAACTTATCACTGGTGCTGCTGGCAGTGCAATTGGTTATGCAGCAGGCGTATACTCTTATATGCTCATATGGTTACTGAGTCACTTTTCTATAAAGTAAACTGAAGATCAATTTTATGCGTTTCTACATTTGATCAGCTGCTACTACTTGATTTTCCAAAACAAGGAGTTATTCAGGTTATCCCCAAAAGGGTATTTTCAATAATTCAAAATATTTTAATCTTTTCAGCCGCAGCTTACCAGAAAGCACAGCCCATAATAAGACAAGAACCAACACACCTGCCAGCCCCCAAGTCCCAATCACACATCCATACAAAATTACTACAAAAATAAACCCTTGATATTAGGGAAAGTTTAAAAGAATTCAGACAAGAAGGATGAGTAGAAATTACCATAGGGATTGACAAAACAACTTCTCTTTCTTCCTGAACAGGGGAGAGTTCAATCTTTTCACTGTTCATGATGTTTCTCCTTAGCTTCCCAAAATCTTTTTGAAGCTGCAAGAAACAAACTTTTTAGACCAGGGAAGAAGACACACACCAGCGGTAGAACCAGCGAGGGGAGCTGAGGATTTGAGAAGTGAGAAAAGTGGGAGTAAATGGAAAGATTAATGAGAGAGAATGCGGTTACTAGTTGGTGCCATAAATAAGATCCTTCTCAATAAAGGCAAAGGCGAGGAGCAGGATTTATCCATAATAAACTCAATGATTAATACCGTATTATTTGAAATATGGAGCATTTTTTTAACAATTCTTTTTTACTTATTATACGTACTATGAAATATAAGTATATTATACGCAGTGCTTCGAAAATAAGGTTTTTTTCAAAAATATTATTAAAATTAAAATAAAATTTATTTACAATAAGATCAATAGTTACTACATTATAGTTTAATGGCCACTTAAGTTTAAAACTTGAAGATAAGTTATTACAATTAAACTTTTATTATAATTATTAGTCACATTTTTGTAAATAAGTTATATTTTAGTCCTAAAACGGTCATTAGTAGTCCGCTCAAATATGTTAAAACAAATTGGGGAATATTAATATTATATGAGATGAGCTTTTGCAAATGTCTATGTTAAGTGCTTTTCATCTTCATATTCTTTTTATTTTTGTTGGTAATTTCATCTTCTTACTCTTTAAAAACTAAAATAATTTTTTCATAGGTATTTTTGTCTAGAGATAATAAATAGTTTAATGTTAAAAGCCGAATTTAGATATGACGATGCTTAGAACAGTTTATCACTATTTTATTTCGTTTTATACCAAAATTTCGATTTTCTTTTTTCAAGAACACTTTTGTTTTCAAGCATTATGAAAATTTATTATGTAGTACGGAGTATTATACATTCCTTATAATATTTATAACAAATCGCTTTTCTGAAATACTGAGTACAAAGTAGAAGCAAATGCAAAGAAACGTCTACATATACTATGCACACATGGAAAATTCTCAGATCCGAACGTTCGGATCTGAAGCGTCGTCCGAACATCGTCGTTCAGGGTGGTTTTCGGTGGAATTTTTTAATGAAATTTTTATGGTATGTTCTTCATCAAGTCTACTTTATCCACAAAAAATTTCATCTCAAAATTCGATAGGGAAGGCCGTTAAATAATTTTTGAAAGTTGACTGCGTTTTTCTATGTATAAATTTGCGCAATTAACTTCCAAAAATTATTTGAAGACCTTCCCGATCGAATTTGGATCTGAAATGTTTTGTGCATAAACTAGACTTGATGAAGAACATACCATAAAAATTTCATCGAAAATTTACACCGGGAACCGCCCGGAACGGCGGTGTTCGGACAGAGCTTTCAGACCAAATCCTGCTGGACAGGACTCGTGCACATATAATATGCTTTCCTCAACTAACTTTCACTCTACCCTTTACAATTTTTTAATTAATGTAAGTTGAGTCTCCTTTAGCAATTATAAATAAAATAATTGGAGTAGTATTGATATCATATATTCAATTTTTAATGATTGTTTATAAAAATATGAATACTGATTAGAGTAGTAATGAAATCATACAAACTTATATTCAATTTTTAAACTTAAATTACTATGATATTATATTGTAGTAATTATTAGTCATATTTTTGTAAATAAGTTTTGTTTTAATAATATTTATGTAAAAAACCAATAATAAATTAAATTTAGTAATGGTCAAGTTTAACATTTGTTGTAGGGTCAAGTTTAATAAATTTGGAATATTAAAATTTTAGTTTTTAGCAAATACTCTCTCCGTCCCGAATTGAATTGCAAACTTTGACTGGTATAAGGATTAAGGAGTGACAATAAATGATTCTTGTTTTTACACTTTTGTCACTTTATTTTTATTTACATACATAAAATAGAAAGTGAAAAATCATTTTAGAAGAACCAAAATAGGAAATTTTGCAAATCAAATTGGGGCGGATGGAGTACATAGCATATCACCAAAAAACAAATACATAGCCAAAAAAACCATACATAGTGTTGAATATTAATAAATGCCTTGTATGCCTGCGAGGTTTGACTTTGAATGGCGTGTAACATTTGTTGTAGGGCGTGGCAATAAACTTAGGCGCTGGATTACCAGGATAGTTTCCCTCTTTCCCTTAATCATGCATTAAAGACATGTCTACTTAAAACATGTCTAGTTGAACATGATAGGCTGTTTGATAAATGATAACGTACATTGAAATTATATAAAACTAGTGTAACATCCGAGGCATGCCCCGGTAGTGTTAATTTGACATTGGTCAGGTGAAATAAAGATTGTAAACTATTCATAGGATATGATCAAAATTTTGACGATTGCTTTTATGAACTAATCACCACCATGGAATACGGATGAAGAACTACCATCTTTTGGAGTACTAATTTGTGGTTATAATTTTGGTTTATGTGCTTATTGTTGTAAAATTTATTAATTACAGGACTAACCACCACCATGGAATACTCCACTAATTATAGGGCTAATTATATGATAAGGAATGATAAGAAGAAACGTTGAATTGGAATTGGGAATATGTAGAGTTTATAATTTACATTAATTTAGATATTCACTTGTATTGTTGATATTGTACGATTAAAGTCCCGTCCACGTGAATTAAAGTTTCATTATTTAAAAAATAATAATATTTCAAAATTGAGCATACATTACAATGTGAACTATTTATGACTACTGTCACTAACACCCGCCCACATCGATTAAAGTTCCTGATGGATAGTGTATCCGGGGGTAGCTTATCCGAGAGGTTATTTCGAGGAATAACCTAGAGAGAGACCAGAGCAATAAGTAAGAGAGAGTGTGTGTATTCGAGTATGAATGTTTGTTGTCGATTACAATGGAAAGTGGATGCTATTTATAGTAGACATAAATGCTAGACAAGGACACGTGTCAAACATCTGACGGCCGAGGGTCACCTCAATCGGGGTGGCACCGGCATTTACATGTGCACCGCATTAAATGCGGTCGGTGAATGTGACGCCGCCTTAAATGCGGTGGTTGTTTGTCCCCAAAGGGAATCTTCGAAGAGCTGTATGATGTCTGAAGGCTCTCCTATGGCCGAAGGCTTCCCTCATGCCGAAGGCTCAATGATCTCAATCGTTTCTCCGAGTAGCTTCGTACACCTGAAATCAGCTGTTTCCTGGGGTTTGGAGCCTTCGGCTATGGTGCCGAAGGCATCCCTAACCACACCGTGGGTTCCTTTGATCTTGGGCAGCGGTGTTTTGGGCCTCCTGCGCTCCTTGGGCCTGTTGGGCCTGTGTTGGAGTAGTAGGAGTCTGTGGGGTGGGGTCCCTGGGCCATATACTCCATCAGGAGTCCCCCACTCCTTTTGCCGAAAGGTACTTGAGGGAAAAGGAGTAGTTGTGGTGATTGCCCCGAAGGTTTCCCTGTTTTATTTGGTGCCCCAGATTCTTTGCTTTCTTATGTTTGCCGAAGGCATTCCCTTAGTCCCCTCACACATCGAGGGCTGAGGGCTCCCTGAAGGGAGTGCAAGTGTGTTGTTCGCATGTGTTGTGGCGGAGGCTGCTTTATCATCCTTGGTACTTCTGTCATATTTTGGCAATTTGTGTTTCCCGAAGGGTATATCGACTATTCATACCCGAGGGGTTGTGTCTATTATTTTGCCCGAAGGCTACATGTATTATTTGTCAATGTCAATTTTTGTTCATAGTTCCCGAGGGGTTCTCCCAGTCCCCCACTCCTTTAGGCCGAAGGCAAATTCGAGCTGAAGAAGTTAAGAGTGATGTCTAGATCCGAGGGCGTATTCGGATGAGGGGTTGCCGATGTGTGATAATCCGAAGGGTCACATTTGCCCTTGTTCGAAGGCATGTGGAACCTGAAGGCATGTGTTGTGAAGGGTACCAGCGGAGGCCACCTTGATATTTCAGAATATGGCCGTTGGAATATGACCATTGGAGGTGGGGTCCACATGGCGTGCTCCCGTTGGTTAGCTTTGGGCGGGCGTCATAGGTGGGACTTGAGTGTGGTTTTGAAATTGATTGGGGTATGGGTTTTGGTACTGGGTCTGATTTTGGAATGTAGATTGATTGGAGGTGGGTTCTGTCTCGGTTGGAAAACGGGAATACTCTGCCCTGCTCCTTGCATCCCATAAACTTGATTTTGAAAATTGGTTTCAGGAGCAGTGGGGGTATTTTGAAAGAGATGAAATAATGGAGGGAGATTAAATTGTGGTGAAGGCTGATTTTGGGGAAAAAATGGAGTGCGGTAATTTTGAAAACCTGGAGGGTTTCTAGGTGAAATTGGTGGTGAAGATTGGGATGACGTGTTCACATAGAAATCTTGCTGAGATGTGGGGTTAGGGTTACCCGACATCCCTGCGATTCCAGATGAAGACTGGTGGTCCATGTTATTCTTTTCCTTTTGAGCCTTGCGGTTTTGTCTGGCGAGTTTTTCAATCTCAAGGTTAAGAGGTATTAGCGGTTCTCCCCTCTTAGAACGTGTATGCATAAACAAAGCTAACCTGCAAGGTTAGCAGACAAAAATTCTACGAAAACTAAAAACGAATCGCTGAGTAAAATTAACCCTTAAGACTGACACCGTCCCCGGCAATGGCGCCAAAAACTGATGTGAGTTTTCTCGCACTTAAAAAGATTGTAATATAGCGGTGAAAGTACGAGTATCATCTCCACAGGGACGGTAAAAGGGAATTAAGAATTAACTAAAATCAGCGATAAAAAATAAATAAAACAAATGCGGTCGTGCGAGAATTGGTTGCTTGAGAAAACTAAAATTGCAAATAAATGACAAAAAGAAAATATTTGGGTTCTTCTTTATTAACGACGAAGGGAACAAGGATTGATTCCGGGGTAATCAGATTTCTGCCAGATCAGGCTTAATTACATGAATTTAATTTAATTGAGCCTAGCTAATCAATACTAAGTTCTTACCGCTCTCGCGGCATAGAGCACAATAATTTAGGGGACCAGGCTGATCTCTCATGCGACAGGATCCTAAATTATTGCCAAGACGAACGAGCTTACGGCCCCTTAATCGCTACTAATATCTTAGCGAACGATTAAGTGTGTGTGAATGTGTCCTAGAACAAATTAGACCTCTCTTAATTTATTCTATAAGCAATTGTAATTCTAGTGGTCATTCTAGGTTACAAAGGATATCAATTAAATTATTCAAACACAAATTAAACGGCATTCATGCAATTTACACCATCAAGA